TTCTTTCTCAGTCTTCCCAGTTAGCTGGTGTCTGGTCATTTCATAATTGCATTTTAGGAGAAGAGATATTAATTTTCTTCAACAAAAGGCCGGGTTCCTTGATGACACGCCGTAATTCAATTTCCGCTCTCTCCCTTCGTTGCCCGTATCCCTTCCTCCTGGCACATTTTTCATAGTTAGGAGGAGTGATAGTGTCAAATATATCAAAAGGAAGAATTGATTCAGTCCTAGTTTGACGACTTGACTGATTAACAGAGATCAGAAGAAGGCTCGTAACTGTGAAAGCCACTGCAGCATGGAGTTTAACAGCTCTTTAGGGAGCCAGTTAATGAAAGAATCACTACAGAAACACAGCCATGCAAAAAAAAAAAAAAAGAAAAGAAAAAAAAAGGAAAATACAGGAGCATGCCCACATAACACGCGGGGACCATGGCATAGGAGGAAATGTGCTCGTGACTCCTATTTACACATTGCAGTAATTACCATCTGCCTTGAGATTGCTCTCAGCCTTCTCCTGTCAGAGTTGCTTAGACAGTTCCTCTCTCACAGGGCATGCAGAGAGGTCTGGCGCTGGCTGGGACTTGTCCTCAGGACTTTTCTCCTTCCGAAGACTGTAATTATCCGACACCTGAGCCCGCACTCCTTGGTTAGACTAGCTTTAACCGGATCCATGTTCTTGTCATCATCACCATTTGTCCGTGAACCAGACTTGCGCTTGGGTGAATGTCATGCTGGACGTTAGCCTTTAATGTTTGTGTGTAGTTACTCTCTTTTCTTTCTCCTGATGCAGTGTCTATGAACCAGATAGAAATGTGTTACGGAGGAAAGAACGAGAAAGGAGAAATCAGGAGACTCAACAGGACGATGGCACATTTAATTCCAGTTATTCCCTCTTCAGTGAACCCTACAAGGTAGATGGTTTTCCATTATTTATCTCCACCCCTCGCCCACTGGCACCTCTACCCCCGGGATGACAGTCTTGACCAAAAGAGTCGCCTAATCAAATTCCAGCTAGTTTTCTGCCTGTTCGGCCGAGGGAAGGCAACCTTGCCACTAAGAATGGGGGCCTCCCCCACAAATCTTGGTGTCAATATTGAGATCTGCTTGCTATAATTTTATCAATAACATATATGTCATCTCTGCATTGATTTTTCAAAGTCAGTGCTATTATATTCTCTAAGGTGTTAGGAAACAAACGCTATTACAAGAGGTTGGGTTACATATCTGTCACACGTGGATCATGCTGGTCCCAGGGTTACTTGATAGGGCTAATAAGAAAGAAACTGTTGGATTGGTTTTCCTTTATACCAAAGGCCAGAAATATAACCACTCTTCCGAAATGGACTGTCATCCCAGTGTCTCAGGCCGCATGGAGCTTGTGTAGTTCAGGCTCATAGCTTCTTGCATATTTAGCCTATGTTCATTTAAACTTCATTCTGACTTCTTTCGCCTGCCACTCTGGGTTTCTGACAAGAATAATTATATAGTTAGAAACTGGAAAGAGAACAGTTTGAGCCAAATCTGAATTTGTAAGAAAAGCTTCCAATGGGACTCCAAAAAGGAAGAAGTCCCCTCCTGGAGATCCTTGGTCGGACCATGTGTGGAGGTGCAGGAGTGCAGTTTGCACATCCTCAGAGGCTGCACAGGCCCCAGGACAAGCGCCTGTTTGTGCAGCCACGGCCCCGGCCAGCACTCTGGGTCTGGCGTGCAGCGAGTGCCGGCGGACTTCTTCAGAGATGACGGTTTAGATTTCACCTGCCGCTCGCGTTCTGCATGTGGCAGCTCTGAGGTCGGTAACGGCACCATGTTCCCATGGTCGCTAACATCAGGGTGTGCTTTCTCTTTCTCCAGACTAACAAGGGGGATGAGCTCTCCAACCGGATCCAGAATACGCTAGGCAATTACGACGAAATGAAGGACTTTTTAACTGATAGATCTAATCAGAGTCATCTCGTTGGCGTTCCCAAACCTGGGGTTCCTCAGGCTGCTGTGAACAAGATCGAGGAACATTTTGTTGCAGATTCAAGAGCCCAGGCCCAGGCCTCCTCTGTGGGCAGCACGGCGTCTTCCACACCAGCGGCTGTGCCCGGGCAGCAGAGTAAGAGGGGCACCGTGGGCTGGCAGAAGGCTGGGCACCCGCCTCCCGACGGCCCACCGAGAGCAAGTAAGCGCGGACATAGGTTGATTGATCTGACCAGATCTGCTCCTCCAAAGAACCCCAGTCAAAAGACTAACCACTGTGTGTCCAGCCCCTCACCCTCACCCCCCTCTCCTTCTTCTTCCAACTCAGCACAACAGAGCTCTCTCAGGACCTTGCTTGGAGATGGCGCTGGCAGGCAGCAGCCACGGGCCAAACAGGTGTGCAATGTAGAGGTGGGTCTTCAGACCCAGGAAAGACCACCCGCCATGGCAGCCAAGCACAGCAGCAGTGGACACTGTGTTCAGAACTTTCCTCCATCCCTGGCTTCCAAACCCAGCCTGGTCCAGCAGAAACCGACCGCATATGTGCGGCCGATGGATGGCCAAGATCAGGCTCCCGATGAGTCTCCGAAGCTTAAGTCGTCCACGGAAACCAGCGTGCACTGCACGTCATACAGGGGCGTCCCGGCCGCCAAGCCAGAGTCCACCAGAGCCAAGGCCAAGCTTTCCAAGTTCAGCATCCCCAAGCCATCGGAGGTGAGTCTTTTCTCATGACTACTCTGTATCTGCCTGGTTCTGCGTGTCCACCTGACCGCTGAGAATTCAGTTCCCAGGTTTCTTTATTTCAGTGTGTGACTGCCTTCACGTGGTAGGATTTGTAGCGGTCAGTAAGGGAGGATGTACGCATAAGTAACGCTTTCTTACAATCAACGGATTACAGGCAGACTTGTTAAGTTCCAACAAATGTAGTTGTATGTGTGTCTCTGTTAGTTCAGGGAGGAATATCTCCTTGAATGCAGTTCAGGGGATAGCTTATAAACAAGCCAGTATTATGGAGATATTAAATACTAAAAGTGAAAGTACTTCACAAACTATAATTTTTGGTATGTAAAGAGGTGAATTTCTATGTAAAATAGTTCAGATATTTAATATTTTGGTCAGTTTTGGAATGTTCCAGGACAAACTTTACAAGGTAAACTTCTGAATGATTTTGAAAGTAATTGTTAAATGATTCAATGCTGATTACGGTAAATATTCAGATGTCCCGTCTTTATTATAATATTTAAGACCCAGGTTCATTGGTGTTAATTAATAAAGTAAGGACTCTCTGTGTCCTGTAAAATTATCTTAGGCTACATGAAGAGAGCGAAATATTTTAGTTCAGATTCTCCTGGTTTGCATTGTGACTTCATTCAAATGTGAAGATTAGATGTATAGAACACTAGAATTTAAAACAAACAAATCACATAGTCACTGAGGTAGCAAAGAGGCCATGACTAGTAACTTGAACAGAAATCTGGGTGGAAAAGGAAGTTTTGTTGTAGAGAAGCATATCTCATACTATATTTCTAATTGATGACAGTTGTCAAGAGCACGGGAATAAGAAATATGACTGCACATGTTTTATTTTACTGTGGTTAAGGTGTAATAACTGAAATAAATGTGAGTTCTGGAATGTTGTACTTAGAAATTGTTCAAGATTTTATTTTCTTTTTGACATATTCTTTTTCAAAGATGAGTAATACTGTGGCCAGACTAATCTTTGTGTCTTAATTTGATCTCATAACCAAATGAAGCAGATGATTTAACATATCTTCTTGAATGCCCTACAATGCTGAGCTTAACCATGTCTGAGCTATCATCTCAGAAAGCGCCATGCACCAATTGGGAGGCCAATATATTACCTAATTAGACAAGACTTTTTTTCTTTTACTTTGAGATGTTTACACAGGTTCTAATGAGGAAATTATACCAGAAACCAGTAACATCTTTTGATAATTCATTTATGATGGACCCCAGAAAATGTTCATTAGAAATTAATAGAAACAAAAATGTAACTTCTGCAAGCATTTATATTTTTTTCTTCATTTTTGCATTCATGTTTTTAAAAGTTTGTAGGAAACACACATAGATCTCACCTTACAAAATTGAATTCAATAAGCTTTTTGATTTTTGTTATTACTGTCAAATGACCCTGTAATGGCAACAAAAAGCATGGTGTATCCTTGAACAGAGGTGACTGCAACCATCAGGAATCCCTTTATAATTTCAATCCCAATTGATTCTTTGTTAAAATTATTTTTATGTACCAAAGAAACTTCAGATTTATTCTATAATAATTTATTTATTTTGGAACCCATTGAGTTGACAAAGCTCTGGTTATAAGCCAGCGTTTGATCGCCAGTTCAGCCTTATGCAAGTAATTATTTAGTTTGCCTTAGGTTTTGGGGTATGTCATTAATAACGTGGACACTTTCAGGATGCCAGATTGAGAATGGCATTCTGGACTGGTGCTCAGTAACCAGAGCAGGGAGGAAGGCCTGAGACAGAGTCAACCCCACAGAAATGAGCGCTTTTATGCAGGAAGTGTTTCCTTCCCCCACGTGTAATGTCATATGCAGTCAGCTTACTTCTTCCTAACATTCTATGCTAAACGCTTCAAAGAGGGCAATCATGCATTGATAGAGAAGAGGTAAGAAAAAGTGTTGTTGATAGGACAAAGTTGTAATCGGTGGATTTTTCGGCGGCAAGGGTCGGGGCGCGATGCAGTCTTTATTTTAGTAGAAAGCATCGCATGTTATGGAAAATGTGGTAATTTGAATCTTGTAATACTGCTATGTTTAATCAGCCCACTATCATACTAACAAAATGGCTCTTTCCAGTTAGTAGCAGGGTGGTAGTTGTAAGTTACATTTCCCAACCTTTAAACTCAAAGGTGTTGTTTTTGTTTGTTTCTTTTTACATTACTCTAAGAAATTAAGAAATACCTTTTGGCAGGTATACCATTCATTATTTTTAGGGAATTCCATATAATCTACACTCTTAACATAGAAACTGAAGAATTTTATCAGACCAATCAGATTTTACTTTTGAGGGAATACTTGCTTTTATTTTTTGTAGAGAATAACTTAAAAAATAAAATATCCTCTATAAATAGTTGACTGATCTCCAGTGAAGAAGAGAATGTGCTTTTTAGGGAAATTGACAGAAGAAATGATCTGAATGGAACTTGTATCTTGACTGTACTTTTTCAGGATGTTAGCTGTTGAGCAAGACTTATGGCAGTGTGAAGAATTTGGGGGCTAAAAGGAAGTGTTATGTAAAAATGACAAAGACAGGGAAGGTGCAGGTATAGCTGTATGGCTTAGTATAGGCACATTCCTCATGAGAAGAATCAGGTCAAGGACTTAGAAGGTATAATTGAGGTGAAAAATATTTTTTAAAAAGCTAAGATGTGGTCTCTGCCTCCAAGAAATTTACAGCAATTGAATAAATTAGGTGCTAGCACTTAGCTTTTCCTTCGTAATTTCTGTCACTTGCAGTCCAAACTAAATTTAAAATCGTCTGTCTTGCCCTAGGAAAATTCACTCACCTTCATAGTCCTTGTAGTAAAAAAACATTCTGTTATTTTTAACAATAGAGAATTGGTGACTCTATTTTCCCGATTTTACACTTGTAAATGCTTCATTCGTCCCTCACAACATCTGTACTCTGTCTGCTGCTGTAGTGAGTTATTTCTTATAATTCTTTAGTCCTCAATAATAGGTCATTAGTGTAGAAAAATTCAGTGCAATTTGATGTGGAAGTTACAGACCTCAAGGGAATTCCTTAACTGATACACCTGCCTCCGGGCTGGTTTTTCCCAGCTCAGTTTTGTGTTTAATGAAAAACATGTTTTTGTTGTTATAGCTGCGTCTTTTACTCTTGATGCTACCCCTCATTAAGTGAGCCTTCCCTGGAGTTTCACTTGGAAGGGTGACTACTGTTAGGTGAGAGTCAGAGAACCTCACGAATGACTGGAACATGCATGCTAGAATGTTCTAGGGTAGGGCACACGACATCTTACTTCCAATTGAAGTGAATGACTTTTTGTTTCACGCACAAACACAAAATTAATGTTTTGCTCTTAACATATAATTCAGGATTCAGATGATGGGGGACCGTTTATCTGGAGGGCCAGACAGGTTTTGTGGGACCTAAAGATGACACTGTCTTGGTGGTGGTGGTGGTTCTCTTTAGGAAAAATGGAATAAAAAATACCTTTCTCCTGGAATTGTTACAAGAACATACATTAGCACATTCCTAGGGCCCTCCTGGGCCTTGGAGAAACCTCTGCTCAGGAGGCCCTGAAGCTGATGTGTCACCAGCTTTTCAGTGTATCTGTCTTTGGCTCATGGAATAATAAGAAATTATTATTTAACTGATAACTTTAGATGTGAAAAGAGTGCTTTATATTCGCTTCAAACTTTGTGGAATTTAAAAATAATGTCTAATGCCAGGTGAGGTAGAAAATGAGACAACACTGAAAAAGTCTAGTCTGCAGTGCTATTGAGACATCAGGGGGTCTCACAGGCTCTGAAATTGTTGGGCGCCATCAGTTCAGCGGTGGTGCCCCAGAACACACCGGTCAGGCCGTTAGCTGTCAATTTAATAGGTAGACGTGGGCCGAAACTGCTCTGGCAGAGGCTCTGGTGGCTGAAAATGGAAGCACTTGAAAAGGCAGGGAAGGAAGGAAACCAGGAGAGAAACACCTAAAGGTGAAAGTCAGTGAATCGACTGTGTATTACGAGTTTTAGAATTCACCCATAAGAACAGAGTAACCATTTTTGGTTGATCAGAATTTTATTTGTTAAGATAAGTAATTAAATAGCTTAAAACGTATTGGTTAATCATCGCATTTTCACAATGGTCATTTTAAAATCACCATTTAGACCACGAATAAGAGCAGAAAGATAAAGTGCCATGATTCTACAAAATAGCTTCCTAGGAAAGCAATTAAGTGATTTTTTTTTAAGTTCACAGAAGATAAATGGTGTGGGCTTCCTATTTCCTGTCACTCTTGGCTACCTTTGTATGAAAATGGATTTCTTCCACATTAAAGTCGGCAGCAGCCTGTTGGAGGAAAAAGGCATCTGCAGAGCCATGTGTGCATTCCATGCTCGTGCCGGTCTAAAGTTCTTCATCCCATTTGAGCTGCCCGGTGTTTTCACACCAGCCGGGCTGCGCTATCGCTCACGATGAAGTGAGGGTGAGGGCCAGCCTGGAGACTCGGTTTCCCTGTCGGTTATGGACTCGTCCTCCCCACACCCCTGGTCTCCGTTCCCCTTCACTCACTGAGACAGAATCCACGTCCTGCGGGACAGTGTGGCTCAGCAACAGCACCGATAGTTAACGCTCTGCGCGCCTCCTGTCCCGTAATGCCCGTCCTCCCTTCTCTTCCCGAGAGGACAGCTTGTACTGTGTAGACTGAGAGGAGTGAAGACTCAACACTTTGATCTCAGGTGTAGAATGAAGGCATCCGTTTTCTGAATTGTAGAAGGGTCATTCTGAAGGTCACCGTGAAGGCTGGCAAGTGGAAATGTTGCCATATTTTTTGGTACTTCTATGTTTAGCCAGTGGGGCCCTAAAAGATAAAGCACTTAATCACTTAAAAACGTGAAGAATGCATATTAAAATGTGTCCTGTTCCATCCTCTTTTCTCGGGCTTCTTTAGGGTAGCGTCCTAGCTGTAAGGTAGGAGATGGCTCCCCGTGCTG